TTGCGGAATCTATGAATCGGCACGGGTTCTTGCCGTCGTTCGGTAGCCTGGGTACCCTCCGATCCAGAGTTGCAACCGGCTCCATATTTTCACTAACTACCATGGACTAAAGTCTTAGTCTAGAGGCCTAGAGCGTGATCTTTTTTTTTTTAGAACAGGTGAAAATCAATGCGCGCGTGGATGTCATCCATAAAATTAAGTCGGCGTGGCCTTATCTACTTCAAAATCTATGGTAGTCGCGTTCTTTGTGTGTTATACGTGTTACTTTTATTTATTCACATATATTTATTGAGTATGAGGCAAAAAGCAAAATTTGCTTATATGACAACTTCCACACAAAAACATACAACGAGTATAAAACACATGCATAATTACAAGGTGGATTTAACCAAGATAAATACAAACATGACAAGTTGGTGATCTATCAATTACGAGAATCTACCCGTTCGGTAGATGAAGTTTTGGACTGTATCAAAAACATTAACGTTACAGTTTTGTAGGTGTGAGAGTGATGTGAACCCTCGAAGTAGTAAGGAACATAGGGAACTGTCACTGAGGTGCTGTAGCTCTACTATGTTGGAGAGAGATGATAACAGAGTACTTCTCTGACTGGAATAAAGATTACAATGTAGAAAGTAGTGTTCAGTTGTTTCACTATGATAGCCACATTTACATATAGGGTAGTCAATACAATAATGTTGAAATAGATGGTAATTTAACTGACTGAAATTAAGACGGAGCCTTATGTGATGAACTGCGGAGTGTCTTTGGTCATGAGAGAAGTGAAAGTGTTTTGTCGGTCTGTTGAATAGTGAATCCAACTCATTTGTAAAGATGTTAATAGTGAGAGAGGCTTGGATATTGGAGGAATGATTTTTTTTATACTTTTCAGTTTTACAAGCAATAGGGGAGAAATTCTGGTTGGCGAAGATTGTATGGGACAGAATCACGAATACGAGATGGAATAAGATCCTGTAAATACTGTGGTGCAAGACCATTTAAATTTTTCCAAAATTGGATCAGTTTATGTCTTTACCTTCTGTCAGTCAAAGTATCCCATCCAAACTCGGCTAAGACGCTCTCGTGTTTAGTGCCTCTTTTGGCCCCAGTACAGACCCGTGCCGCTGACATTTGTACAGACTCAAGTAGATCACAGATCACTTTACCAGAAAGACTACACCATACAATATCAGCATATTCAGCACGTGTTACTTTGGTCCAATGCTTTTGTTATTATAATCAAAGTTCCAAATGAACGCAATACACTGTAATAAAACGTACCGGTTGCATTCTTAACATGTTAGGCCATGTTGATTTGATTATATGTATGTCATCCGTGTGCGCATGAATTTTCGGTCGTTTCCCTCCAAGAAAAGTTTTCAACCATACTGTAAATCGTACAAAAAAGTTGCAAAATGAGCAAATATATATCGTAAATTGCAAAAAAAATATTGGAAAACGATACCAATGCCGTATAATGCCAAAATCGAAAAACGAAAAAGACGAAAATGTAAAGAAATGAATGTGAAGAGTAGATCATTCGCCATACCATACTCTGTGCCACTTGTTCAACCTTCATGATTTCATAATGAAAGCAACTTTTTTTACAAAACTTTTTTCTTCGAACGCTTGCATCAGTTTTGGGGTTTCCAGAGGATGTCATTCATATAATCAAATCAACATGGCCTTGCGAATTTGCCAGTGAAGGGGAATTTTGTTTCCCTTGACGAGTCAGATTTGCACTGTTGCGTGCACGGGATTGTTAGTGTTACCAGGGCAAACAACATAACATGCGATTACGTCATGCCCTATAGAAAAAAATGATAAAAGAGGAAACATTCTTCTGTACGTGTGTGCAAATCTGCACATTGAAAGCGATGAAAGTCGAGTTAATCTTTATCGGATGGTTGTTCTTACAATGATTCTTACACGCACAAAAAAAACTTGAGAACATAATTGCCACGTCTCGTTGTTATCTTGTCCCTATTATCAGATTATTATTCTGTCGACATGTAAGTCTGTACACGTACAGGACTTACAGGTTCTAGACACATCCAGACGAGGTGGCCGAGTGGTTAAGGCGATGGACTGCTAATCCATTGTGCTCTGCACGCGTGGGTTCGAATCCCATCCTCGTCGATAACTTTTTTTTAGCTCCAGGACCACAAAGTTCGAAACCCAACCCGCAGAGGTTAGATGCTAAACGCCGCCGCGCATTTTCGTCTCGTAAAGGCTTTTGTCATCTGAAACAGTCGATGCCATATCGCTGAATGGTCAATCCAAGCGTATCATAAATTTCTGAGGTGTTAATACGTTTAAAAAGTATAAAAAGCATAGTATAAGCGTATAAAAACCTTTAAAACGTATGAAAAGCATACTTACTCGAAGCACAAAGAACCTTCCTCCGCTCAAAAATCATGAACCTGTCACTTCCAGAAAATCTGACCTCAAACTTTTAAACTCCACTGCAGTACCGTATGTGTCCGCTAGGAGTCCCATTATCGAACTTGACCTTCGTCGTTGTTGCCCCTACCTATCCACTAAAGATCTTGAACAACCATCCACAGTTTCTCGAGTTATATTGCATAGAAACAAAAACACAAACAACTCAATGCAGCAACGTACGAACACTACAGGTAAACCATTTTTGAACTTGACCTTTTGACCAAATATAATTAAGATCCATTCACAGCTTCTCGAGTTATGCTGAACATATAAAATCAACAGATGCATAAAAAGCCCGCTGCAGTACCATTGAAAACGCCAGTTGGGCCATTTTTTAAAACTTATCCTACTTTTCCTTACTACACTATGTACTTACATATCAAATATCAACAAGATCCATCCACAACTTCTCGAGTTATGACGTTAACCCAGATACAGACCCACACCGCAGCTGCTCTACCGTGCCCAAATCGAAAACATACCTTTTTCTGACGAAGGCAATTATGTGTGGAATAACACATTTCCTGTCTTCTTGACTGAACAACAGCTACTCACAGAACAACATATCAATAAGATCCATCCACAACTTCTAGAGTTATGACGTTGACCTATGCTAAATACAGACCCACACCGCAGCTGCTCTACCAAGCCCACAGCTAAGGCCACACCAAGTAAATTTTATGGATGACGTCCTTTGGAGACCCTAAATCTAATGCGAGAGGGCGAAAAAAAAACAAGAAGGGCCCTAAAAAATAAGATGCCTAGATTAGAAATATACTAAGAAACGACAAATGTTAGGACAGAAATTGAATGAGGTGACACACACAGTGTATCAAGCAAAAAGTCTTTTATTCATCATCAAAACAGCAATAAATCAGGTGGAGGAGCAGTTATCGTCCTGTCCTGTTTTCGCGTTACGGGTTTCACGTCAATCTGACGATTTGCGGCACTGTCGTGACTCTTTGGTCATAGTTACAGGAAGCAGAATTTCTTGTTTTTTTTCTAGGAACAGGCCAAAATCAATGCGCGCGGAATATGAATGGAATAACATTACTCCCCATATCCGGTCCTCTTGACTGCACAAATGTGAGTTGACGGACTCCACTCCCCACGCCCCGATCATGTCTCATCTATAATTCACACACGGCTCAAAACACCGGTCTGGTCACAAAGACGAGTCGGTACTTTTCATTATACTTTCAACACAGCAGCGTGGCCTGGGGACTAGATACAGACAGGTGGTCTTCTTCAGGTCATCAACCTTTTGTAAACAACATTGATGCAAATCCACACTCGAAGGCTAAGTGCAAACAAAGCATTACACTAGTGCATTATACAACCTTTCTAGATGTATTTACTATAGATTCTAACTATTCATTTGAAGGACTTGATACTGTTAGATAGATGGGTAGCTAGACATATAATACTACATACTACTAGGTAGACAGATAGATACAGAGATAGATAGATATAGATACTATTAGATAGATACATGGATGGATGGATAGATAGATACATCGATAGATAGATACTAGTAGATAGATAGATAGATAGATAGATAGATAGATAGATAGATAGATAGATAGATAGATAGAAAGATAGATAGATAGATAGATAGATAGATAGATAGATAGATAGATACATCGATAGATAGATAGGTAGATAGATAGATAGATAGATAGATAGATAGATAGATGGATTGATAGATAGATACTAGTAGATAGATAGATAGATAGATAGAAAGATAGATAGATAGATAGATAGATAGATAGATAGATAGATAGATAGATAGATAGATAGATAGATAGATAGATAGATAAATAGATAGATAAATAGATAGATAGATAGATAAATGAATAAATTGTTAAAACGATAGATAATTTTGCCCCCTGCCGGCTTGTTACGGTACTGCAGCGGAACTTCCGGTTTTTATGTCATATAGATACTATATACTTAAGTAGTATCTTCTCTATCCAACAACATTTAAACGACATCTACTTTTTATTAAGTCTTGAGTCCTAAATCAAACTGCAGTAGTTTGAGAAGCCATGATCTAGATTGGTATGAGAACTCCTGTCGATAATCAATTACTTTGCATGCATGATAGTATCGAGTAGCCAGGGGGCTACCCACAAGACTCAAAGGTCCACTTTTTGGTCCACTTTTATCTAAAGGTCTAAGATTTTTCTTTAAAAGATGGGCTGATTCGTATGACCAGCGGGGCTGGAATCGTATAAAAACTTCCTACTTTGTCATTGAATAAAAAGCTATCTCTGATTTTTTTCTTTGAAATCCTCTCAAAAACGCAGGAAACGCCAGTTTAGAAGGTCCTTTTTGTTTTACTCTTCCGGGGGAACATGCCCCCGGGCCCCCCTAGGAACCTCGCGACTACGGCGCTCCCTGGTTCCTCAAGCCCCCCCCCCTTCAAAATCCTGGCTACGGGCATGCTTTAATCGACTAAAATCTCATCAGTGCGGTTGAAGACACCTGTTTGTGACGTTACCAAGTGACGTGTCTGATTACAATGATAATCACTACGTCTCGGCCCCTACAGCACGTTTTAGCGAACCTTCTGCCGTGTGAAGCAAAACGCAGGTCTGTCATCAAGTGTCTGAGATTTTCTATCAAGTGTCTGGGATTTCCCTACGTGCAGTCAACATGCCTGGTAGAGGCAGGACTGCTTTCTTGTGGATTATCGGCGTTGTAACGTTGGTGGAATCCGCTTTAGGAGGAAAGTGCCCGTCGAGAGAGTCGCCACCGCGTGTGGGAGGTGAGTCGGGCGGGGACTGGGTGGGTTTGTGCCCGCTGTGTGCTCGCGCTGATGCCGGTACCTGTTACGTGTACACGCACGGTGATGACATATTCGCCGTATGGCATTTTGATTATTTTCGTACGATCTCTGTATCTGTATCTGTACAGCCAGTATAACCGCCCTTCGGCGTAAAACACCGGCTTCTGTATATGTATAGCCAAGGAGGTCCTTGGTATAGCTGGTATAACCGCCCTTCGGCGTAACACACCAGCTTCGCAGGCACGCGGCGCGGCGGCAGCTAGACTTCGAATTCATTACACCGTTGGACCTGTCACACTTAATCTTTGCACATTTAATTGCAGGAGTTACGTCGATGAAGGTTAGACATCCAGGTAATAAGATACGCCAAAAAGCAGTTACTCAAGGAACTGGATATGATTTTGAAGGAGTTGTTTAAAGCTTTCTAGTGATGATGCCCCAACTGAGCTTGGTAACAACAAGTTTTATTTCCAGCTCGGAAAAAAAACAAAACAATTGTTGACAAGGATATCTACAGTAAAAATTTTCATCACTAGAATCTAGAAATAGCGGGATTTTATACGTCACGTTCACAACTGTTCTAAGACTGCCCTCAATTTGCAGTGGTCGTAGAAATGCCGTACGATAAAAACACACTTCGCCAGGATTGTTTGTCAAGTGATGATTTTTGTTTGCTTTCTTTTTGATAATACCGCATGTAACGTTACCTATACCCTGTTTTATTTAAGAATTTATTCATCTTGGACATACCTGGTACCTGGGTAGCTCCTACAGCTATGTAATTTACTGCCACTTTTTAACATATCTGTGAAACGATCTCACATTTCTGACATTTCTGGTCGAAATTTATCAAAAACAACTCAGTTTGTGGTGCCACCACAAATAACCAGAATGTAAACAAACATGGCTGACAGCAATGTTTCCAGCTTTTTAACACACTCGCAAGGCAGCACATTTTGGCTCTTCTACTTCCTAGATAAGACTTATTTTGCAATGGAGTAGGATTGATTTATGTACTTGTTTGAAAAAAAACGACTAGAAAATTTGCTTTTAATTACACCGCCCTAATACGTTACATAATGCAGCTTCAAGGTAGTCGAAAAGAAGTAAATGTTACTAAAGTTATGTCACTTCACGAACATGGACACTTATAAATAGAAAATATGAATGTATATTTCTTACCTTTCGTTAAACCAACCATAACTTATGTTAACGTTACATTCTAGTAGGATACAATCACTAGAGCCAAGGATGTGCCCATGTCCATATGTGTATATATGTACATGTGTGACTGGTACCTAGGCTAGTGGGGAAAAATGTACAACTAGTGAATAACCCTTATTATACATTCATACCCTACCGGGCTAAGTACAGGAAAACAGATATAAAGGTATATAGTACAGACAGGACTTCTGATACTTATCTACAACAACTAAACCTACTCTAATGTACAGATTCGACTTCTCTTTGTGATCTTAAAAATATAGTTTAGATATGTTTTACACATATCTAAACTATATTTTTTTAAGAAAAAAAATACAGCTTGATCAAAGCGCATGAAAAAATAATTTTTCAATATTAGTCAAGGATTTAAAGTATGGAAACATTAGAATTGTTTCTATCGTTGCTGCATAAAGTACAGCCTATAAGTGGACTTCATTTTCTACCTTGCTCAAGCTCCAAAAAAATAAAAGGTCTTCATTTGTCCATGGTAACAGCTAGCGCACTCCGCATGCAGCACAATCATTATTATACTAGTAATCGGCTGATGTTTTGAACATGAATCTGGGTCAATATGGCGGAAATATTGAGTAGCTATAAGATTATACTTTTCTGCAAGAAGATGAGATGGAAAAATAATTGGCTGATAATTTTGCCCGTTGCATACGATATATTTCTTGGCACAAGATTTGAAAACTATAGACGGGACGCCATCCTTAAATACGCGAACTCTGCAAACTTTAAAGCTTTCTGGCCTGGAGACAACTGATTTTTCAAAGTCGTATTGTCTTAACTGGAAACTGAGAGGCTAAGATTAAAAGAGAATGGTCAGGAAAGCGCGACAACAAAAAGCTGAGGTCTCGGGGAAAATGTCGTGTTTCCTGTTTCAGTCCTGAAAAAACTAGGGTCGGCAGGTAGAGATTATCTTTCTTCTTTTTCTTTTTTTTCAGACTTTGGCAATCTTTAGTGATCCAACTTATGCAATGCAGTTTACTGAAGTAAAACCTGCACGAGCACGTCTTATACTCCCTACCAATGTTGGAAAACCGATCGCGCGCGCGCGCGCCATTGTACAACGCTTCATCACTTGTCAGATTATGGAGCTAGAAAAGGCTTGAAAAATTAACGTCCCTTGCTGGTATCCACAGAAAGAGGCCAGGGTTGGCAGTTTTTTCTAGGGTCGGTCGGGAAACAGGAAACGCGACATTTGTTTTTCTAGGCCCGACAACCTGTAGACTCGCCATACTCCGTGAAGCGTTATGTCGTGGTACACCATGCACACATTACTGGTTTCGCGTAGGCGTAGTACGTTCTGACAACGTGCTTCTAACAAGAGGGATTCATGATGACCATATTTGGTAACAACAACAGGTGCCTACTGTACATGGAAAACAACACAATTAACTCCGCCCACTCACATGATGACCATATTTGGTGACAACAGGTGCCTACTGTACATGGACAACAACATGACAATTAACTCCGCCCAGCCAACCGTTCTTAACATCGCTTCTCTATCAGTAAGTCGAGTAAGGATCATCTGGGATTGCCGCCTCTTCTTCCGGCCTCCAAGGACGGATTTTAATTCACACTTCATTGCATGCAAACTCCTGCCCGAAGGCTAATCTTATTAAAATAATCTTCATTCAGATCTTTCGGTGGCATCAAAGATAGTATAAAATTGGCCAGGCAGTATCCAATACAATACGCCAACCCTTTCTGCCTGGCAAATGGATACTGCCTGGCCAATTTAGCAAAATTATGAGGCAATGTTGACGACAAACGCCCAACATATCTGGATTTCGCGCAAGCGATGTGCTGCCGTACTTTCATCTGTCATCTGACATCTTCAAAGTTCGTTTTACGTCGTCCTTGAATGTTAGACATTGAGGTAGAACATTGCGAGGTACGAAATATATCAAGGAATAAACTCTTTGACTCTAAAGAGTCAGGCACATGTATAACCTTCGATACATGGATGTTTTAGGCAATCCAAATCGTTCGGAGTGATATAAGCATATAACATCCCTAAGCTACTGTGCATCACTAAAGAGCTTTATACATACTGGCAAAATAACATCAGACATTGCCATTTTTAGATTTTGAAACTACCACCTGATTGCCAGCATCTTATTTGCTCAAAAGTGGTCCTCTTGCACCTGATTTCGAACTATTATTATATTTTCATTTGGAAGGAGTATAGCACCCGGAGAAGGCGGTCTGTCACAATTGTAATCATATTATGTTCATACCAGAGGTGGCTGATTGCCAGCTATGTTCAAACAGGCTATTTTGAGCGTCCCCAGCTTTTGCAATTTGAACCGGCCGTTCGTCCTTGGGGGAAGCTGCATTTCTAAATAGTCATTCTTGCATGAGATAGAACCATATTCAGATTATGAACACCGTATCTTTGTCTTTTTCAGTGGGCAGAAATACGTCAGAGCACCTAGTTTAAATTCTAAGCGACGTGAATTGTGCCTTAGGTTTTCCTTCGTCATTCCTACTTCCAGACACACTTCCCTAACTCTCTTATTTGTTTGTTTGTTTATTTTGATTGTTACAGAGTGTGTGTCTATTTTGGATGAGCGCTACAGCTCTGTCCTCTCTTGTTTGTTTATTTACTTGTCCCAGACGTTTTTCTTGAACACTCTTGCTTGTTTATTTATTTGTTTGTGGTATGTTGTTACAGAATGTGTACCTATCCGTGATGACCGCTGCAGCTCGGTCCTGCCCTACCCCCAGACGACGTTCCCGACCCCCCTGGGGCTGCCTGACCAGGACCTGGCCCTGGCGGTCACTCCGGGAGTCTTCACGGCGCTGGACTTGGTCAGCAGGTGTCCACATCTGGACACCTTCCTGTGTTCACTCATCTACCCGCAGTGCACGCCTGAAAAAATCAGGTAGGTTTCTGAAGATGTTAATACCTCCGTGAAATGAAGGTATTTTTTTGTTTGTTTGTGTGTGTGTGTGTGTGTGTGTGTGTGTGTGTGTGCGTGTGTGTGTGTGTAGTGTGTGTGTGTCGTGTTGTGTGTCGTGTGTGTGTGTGTGTGTGTGTGTGTGTGTGTGTGTGTTTCTGCATGGCCCTTAGGTCAGAATGTAATGGTCGGATTCAGTTTGTCTCAGAAAGTCATTGATAACGGCTACATCTGATAGCGCTCGCTGTTTTACATGACCTCCTTGGTAGCTATCGTTTAGTTACATGACCTCCTTGGCAGGTGTTAACGTTGTTTCCCTGTACGTAAAATACCCCAATACGCTAGTCGAGAAGAAGAGAAGCTCCAATTAGTACTCGTACTCATCTATTTTTCCTCCAAAGGATGCCGTGTCGTTCCTTTTGCCGTGACGTCATCAGAACGTGCGCAGGGTCGGTACTGGGAGAAATGCAGGAGTGGCTGACGCTTTTCTGTGACGCCCTGCCGGACCGCAACTGTACCCGACCTGGTTAGTGTCGCGTCCTTATTATGCTTGCCTCAAATTCGCGGAAGGAAAAAATACTGTGTTGCCCCGTTTCTTTTTCATCTTTGTAATTTTAAATTATTGATGTAATATTACATGATTAGCTGGTGCGTGTGTTACGCCGAAAGGCGGTTATACCGGCTATACAGATACAGATAGAAATTGCAAATCCATTCTAAATACGGTCAATGGCCTAGACCAGACGGCTGTCACCATGGTAACTGGTGCTGTAGCAGGCGCCCTGTAGTGTTGGATTACATTATGTAGGAAGTGGTAGAATGTGTAAGGGTATTAAAGATAGACTAAATGTACATGCATGTAATGTTTATAATGTTCGATATTGTATTGTATTGTACACTTGTACTGTCTTGTAGGGCAACTTATAAAGCTGTTAATACACGTGATTTGCTAACCATTCTACTTTTTACATGCTGTATACGTATCCGTGGTAAATTCAAATAAATACTAAAGGACAAACATGAAAATGATTTCCTATTTCTATTTCCAGCCCCTTGCGAGCCGATCCAACTCGCCACCTGCGGGAGCCACCTGCCGTACAACACTACGGGGTTTCCGAACATGCTGGGGCACGGGTCGCAGGCCGAGCTGTTGGCTGACCCCGTGACCTTGAACGACACCGCCCAGCTGATCGACACCGGCTGTCATCCCGAGATCGGGTTCGCCGTCTGCTCTGTCATGGTTCCAAACTGCCACAATTCATTTCCGGTGGGTTTTACTGTTCAATGCTATATTTGAAAAAAAAAAAAAAAAAAAACACACACACACAAACTAGAGAGGCCGACATTTGCTTGGGAGCAAATACAGCATATTTCAGTCCATCTCCCTCCCACGCAAAAGTGGACTATTCCAAACTTACCCCAGTGTAAAACTGGCAAAGATTCTCAAATAAATGAATTATATAGTAGCTATGTATCACTAAGTGAGAACAAAGATGCAAGAACAAGCACATTAAATTTCGAAAGCTTTACTAGTCTTATTACAGGTATGCAAATACTAACAATGATGAGATTTAATACATTTTGAAGGTCTTAGGCACATAAAATTGAATGTGTGGGTCATTACGCATGACTTATGTGCAATGTGACCTCAGGTAACCCGCAATGGAACACGTGTTCCATGGCCAACGGCAGATGGAACAGGCCATTCTTTAGATAGAACATGGAACGGGTATAGCACTTTTGGCCCTTTTTTTGCTGAAAATATCCATTAAAGTCCCCCAAATGAGTCATTTGGAAGTGGTGTATGCCAAATATGTGACTGCTGTTCTGTAGACACATGTTCAAGGTACCCTTATACCAAATTTCAGATCATTTGGTTGTAAAACCAGGGCTCAGGATTCAAAAATCCATTTTTTGGCGAAAAATGCTACAAAAAACCTTCAAAAAAATTTTTCAAAGGCATGTATGAAAAAATAGAAAAAAAAACAACCTGGGGGGTATTGGCTCACTCTACCTCCATGCCAAATTTCAAGTCATTTGGCTGAATGATGGCGGAGTTGAATCCCTTTGACTGTGTGGCAGGAGGAGGAGAAGAAGATGAAGAAGAAGAAGAAACATCAGAGAACACAATATATTTCATCCATACCATGGTATGGACTGAAATATAAAAAAACAAAGAAACAGACAAACAAACAGCCACAAAACTCTAGTCTTTGTCAAGGAATGAACAATCCACCACTTCTGTGACGTCACGTTATGCAAATGACGCACGTGAGTCCGTGAGCAGTGGATCATATGTTGTAGAAAGTCTGTGGCGCCCCCCGTCTTTCTCGAGGGATGGTTGTAATGCCCTGATGTAGATGGCCTCTTCCTGAAAATGGTTACCTCCGTGTATTTTGTGTGTTTGTCATTACTTGAATACAACAGAGTCACAGGAAGTGAGGGGAAACGCCGTAACCGTAGACTGATATATATAGGAAAGACGAATCGGAGGTCAAAATGGCCTGCCTGCAATGACAAGCTATGAGAAAGTGGCAGTAGAATATGCAAAGAAACAGCAAGAAATTCACACTAATGAAACTCACAACTTAATGGACATCTAAAGTCTTCATTTTTTTGTTTCAAATTGTCTATACAGATTCCTCCTTGCAAGTCGTTTTGCCGCGAAGTTCGTGAAGCCTGTGAGCCCACCATGGTCAGTATGGGCCAAGTCTGGCCGTTTGACTGTGACTCGTTCCCCGACGCTCACCAAGGGAAGTGCTCTTCCCCTTACAACGAGACTGCACGTGCGCTGACGGAAAACCTCAACCAAACAGGTAATACTATGTACAGCACTTAGAGTATAGTTTGAGAGCGGCAAACGGTACTTTCTAGCGGACTAACTCCCCGGGCATGTTATCTGTCTATTTGGCCAATTTCTACTCTTTCCAACTGCCTCTCGAAGCCTGGTAGAGGCTAACAGCACAATACACGCACCTTCTGCACTATTGTGTTGTCATTTTCCGAACTATGAACCAAGCGTTTCCTTGCTTCTCAGGGGCTCCTCCTAGCTGCAGTACACATTACGCTTTCCCCACTGCTCAAGCGCCCCTCCTAGCGGAATTATATATTAGTACATGCAGCAGCTTCACTACTGCGTTGTCATTTTCCAGGCTGTGAACAGACAGGCTTCCCCCTCCACTCGAGGGCTCCTCCTAGCTGCAGTACACATTAGTTCATGCACCAGTATCCTCACGACCTTGTTGTTGAAATGTTCCAGGCTGTGAACCGATCCGTTTTCCCCGCTGCTCGGCCTCGGCCCTCCCGTACCGCAGCGCCAGGTTCCCCAGCGCGCTCGGGCTGCCTGACCAGGGGCTTGTTCTGGCCGTGGCGCCGGTGGTGTTCACGGCGATGGACCTGCTGAAGCTGTCCGAGTGTTCCCCGTACCTAGACACCGTCCTGTGCGCGCTCATGTACCAAGACTGTCGGACAGACGAACTCAGGTAGGTGGTATAACTATAAGCCTACAAGCAGATTTATTAGGGGGCAAGCGGGGACGCATTGCAGCAGTCTATGAGTATGAGGGGCAACAGCCGGGCGATAGTAGCCTGGGTTCCAAACCCATAGCACACTGGACACAAAATATCTGAGTGAGCCTGGGTCTAGCCATGAGACTTGGGAAAGGCTCTCAGCCATAGGGGGGGAGAAGCTGTGATTGATGACCCCTCACGCCACAGGTAGCCTGTTACATGGTATCACCATTGGTCAGCAGGAGACAATCTTGGGCTCAACAGTTAATCATTAACCAGTCAATTTTCTAAATGTTTTTTGAGTTTATTTTCCAAAATAACAACAGAACTTAATTTAACAGTAGAAGTAGTGTACAACCCAGGCTTTCCTGTTTGTTTAGGTAACTGTCCTCTAACACACCAGGACAAAATACACCTTATTTACAGTTTTATCTCATTTGCTGGTGAAGATTCAAAGATACAGCTGGGAGTTTTTAACCAATCATTGGTTCCACCAATGGGGTCTTATTACGCTCAGATACTGAGTGTTTGACTGGCAGGACTATCTGACCCTACCAGACCCAGGCTCACTGAGATATTTTGTGTCCAGTGTGTACTAAGTATGGGTCTGGAACCCAGGCTTGGCGATAGTGGCTCCCCTTTCCCCCTATGGTCAGTGGTAATCACAAGTCAACCTCTTGTTTTGAGTAAGGCCATGTTGATTTGATTTGATTATGTGGATATCATCCTCAGGGAACCCCAAAACTGATGCAAGCGTGCGAATATAAATAAAAATTTTGGCCAAAAAGTTGCCTTCATTATGAAATCTGCGTGGTCATCAAGGTTGAACAAATTACTTAGACAGTCAGGTACAATGTATGTCCAATCAGCCTAGTTTCCATGTCTGTATTTTTATGCGACTCTGCTGAAGATAATTTTTTTCAAGAGGTTGAATTAAAAAAAAAAAGAAAAAAAAAGGAAACCACACCTATCGAAAACAGCAGGCTGCTCCATCCCAGTGAAAGTTTTAACTGTAACTTATCGTGTATTAGTTTGATCTTAAAAGATAAGTTACAGTCTGGTCTTTTAAAGCTTGTGCTAACTGTACAAACTGGGGTGTTAAGCCTTAGGCTGTTTATGGGTTATGCGAAACAACAAACAAACAAACATATCTTTAATTTTTTACTTCCGTCCTCAGGCTGCCGTGTGCCTTGATGTGTCGGGATATCATCTCATCCTGTGCTGAACCTGTGCTGAAGATGGTAGGGATAGACTGGATACCAGTTCCTGCACTCCTGCCTGCTGTCAACTTTGTCTGTAACATGCTGCCAGAGGGGGGCTGCATCCAGCCTGGTCAGTTTGTTTGTTTGTTTGTTTGTTTTGAGCCTGAAGTGCTGAGGATGGTAGGGATGGACAGGCTGCCAATCCCAGTGTCATCAACTAAGTTGTCTATAAGATTCGTATAACACACTATAAAATAAGGATCGGTTCATATCCAGTGTTTTTTTTAAATTAAAACAGCAAAAAACATATTAATAAATACATACATGATGACGCCGCACTCAAGTTCCATGGAACTTATATTAATGGTTCCATTAACACAAAATGATTAAACTAAAATATACTGATTACATGGAAAAATATACTGATTGCAGATCCCATGTTTGTTTGTTTAACTTTTTGTTTGTTTGTCTGTTTGTTTGTTTGAGCTTGTGCTGAAAATGGTCAGTGAGTGACTCCCGGTGTGAAACCACAACTATTTGATTAGTTGACACGAGGTTTAAAGAAAGAATGCTGAACTGAATTGTTGGAGGTGAAGACAGAGGCTATATGTTTACTGGTACCTTCAAGTTGGTGCACACAGTTTCAGGGAGTGAATTATAGTCAAGTTAACTTTTTTCCTAACCTTAACTCTTTTACAGGTATGGGTGGCATGGAGAAACCCCACAACACCACAACAAGTATGTTTTTTTAACAAGATATTTCATATTAATTTGTTACTTTTTATCTAATATTGTTACTTTTTCTCTAAATACAACAAAACTTAAGTTGTAAGCTGTCTGATTGCTAATTGCAAGAAAACGCACAGAAAATCTGATACGATGAATTAAAAAAGATGTCTAGGCTATATACTAGTAGCTATCAATCCATTTTGATTTTGATGTTTCTGTGGTTACTGAGAGGAGGCTTCATCTTTTCCTTCTTCCTTACATCACATGATGAAAACTTATTAATAACGTTGTTTATCCAGAGTATGAAGGATTGAACTAGACTAAGTGCATACAGCAAAATATGATTTTATACTCAATTTCATTGTGTTTGGCATCTTTTTAATATCAGAAGAGCAATATTCATCCTAACATTGTTTATACAAAATATAAAGGATTGAAATAATGCAGCAAAATATGATTTTATATTCAATTTGATAGTGTTTGACTTCTCTTTAATATCAGAAGAGCAATATTTAACATAATATTCAATTTAATAAAGATATTAAAGATTGGACTAATGCTCACAGCAAAATATGATTTTATATTCAATTTGTGTTTGACGTCTTTTTAATATCTAAAGAGAGCTAACTTATCCTAACAATTTGTTTATGAAAAAGATGAAGGATTGAACTTAGTGTACACAGCAAAATATGATTTCATATTAATTTTGTGAATTTCTACTTTCAGCATGTGAGCCTCTCCAGTTTGACCGCTGTTCGGCCCTTCCCTACTCTCACACCAGCTTCCCTAACTTCTTCGGTCTGGCTGACCAGCAGATGGCACTGGTCATTGCTCCGGCCGTGTTCGCAGGGCTGGACCTCCTCATGCTGACCGGCTGTCACCCACAACTGGACATCTTCTTCTGCGCACTCTCTTTCCCAGGGTGCACACCAGAGGGAACCAAGTCAGTAGTTATACATCATGCCTTCACTAAGTTCAGTTTATCTTTTTACCACATCCATTTGATTTGTTGGTTCTAGACTTTTTAAAGAAAAAAATGAAGCGACATGCAGGGAAAACAATAATAAAAACAGGACTAGATATCCTATTATAGCCCAAATACTACATGTATGATTATGGGCCCTAAAGTCAACATTCTGGGCTGGTTTTGTCAAACAATGAATTTTAAACATTAGTGAAACCAGTCTGCATTGATACATGTAGATGGAAAACTGTAACAACTCTGAAGGGCAGGGACTTCTTTCAACTCCAGAGGCCAAAATAGAACATTTTGGAGCTGATTGAGAGCTTGAAACTTTTTTTAGCAAAGCAGAAAAAAAGAAGCAGGCAATTCGAGAACCAACAAATTAAATTGGTATGGCCTAGATAAAAATAGTTACTCAAGCAACTGGATTTGATTTTGGAAATGGTCAGAAAATGTAGGTGGCACTTTTGCATCAGCATACAGTGGCAAGAATCATAATTGCTACAGTCAGATTCTCCAGATTCTTATGCTGGGATGAATTGTCTGAAAGACATTGAAATGTAAGTTAGCTGATACTCAGACATTACTAGTTGTGTAAAAATACCCCTCAAATATTTTATGAAGTTAATGAAATGATTTTCAGAAATGTTGGACTAAATGTTTGTTTGTTTGTTTGTGTACCCAGACTGCCGTGCCGTTCGTTCTGTGAGGAGCTAATGTTCACCTGTGGAGGCCCGCTCCTGGCCGCGGTCGGGATGGACTGGGTGGCTTTCGGCTGCTATCTGCTGCCTGATGACAACTGTGTTGCAGCTGGTCAGTTTTTAATTTAAAGACACCCACTGCAATTTTCAGGGCAGCAAAACCAAATTTTCAAAGTTAATTTTCTGGTGACATTCTTTAACATGTAGTCAGTTCAATCAAACCTATCCTGCAGCAAACTGATACTGTATCTGTGGGGCAAAAATGTAGCTAATGTTAAACAATTGCTTGATTTGTATAGTATGCTGGCTGTATTTTTTGTTCCAATACAAAAAATTTACCACTGAAAACTTACATTCCTGTTGCATATCTTTCCAGCCCCACACAACAACACAGCTGATGTACCACGTAATAACAACACTGGTGAGTGTGCTTAACTGTTTTTCAGACATCAATATGTTCTACCACTGCATGGGTATTTTGTACACCTATGCCATTCATTCCTTCCTTCCTTCCTTCCTTCCTTCCTTCTTACCTACCTTCCTTCCCTCTTTCCATCCTTCCTTACTTCCTTCCTTCTTTCCTTCCTTTCTTCATTCATGTCATCTACATGTACTCACATATTTTCATTAGATGGTGTTCATTTGATATTACAGCTACTATACCAGTCTGCATTTGGTATTTCCTACACCTATGCCATTCATTGATCCATCCATCCATCCATCCATCCATCCATCCATCCATCCATCCATCCATCCATCCATCCATCCATCCATCCATCCATCCATCCATCCATCCATCCATCCACCCACCCACCCACCTATCCATCCAACCATCCACCCATCCATTCATTTATTTTATATTCATTCCTCCCTCCCTCCCTGTTCCAGCGTGTGAGCCTATCCAGTTTGACCGGTGTATGGGGATGCCGTACAGCCACGCCCGGTTCCCCGGCATCTTTGGTCTCCCAGGAAACGACCTTGCCCTGACCTTGGCGCCGGTGATGTTCGCTGGTCTGGATGAGATCCCGGGGGATCACCCATACCTGGAGTTCGCCGTCTGCTCCATGCTGTTCCCACAATGCACTGCCGACGAGGGAATCAGGTGTTTGTCAGCAAAACTGAAAATCTTCCGCAAAAACTTAAAAAAAAAACATAAAAACGTTGACACGCTGACTTTGGCAAAACCTTCATTCTCATTTCCCAAACCTTCAGTCACTTGCTGTCTAATGGAGAAACAAAAACACAAATAATTTTGTAGAATTTTAAAATTCATAATTTTTAAACGCCTTCATCAGAATAGCACTTCCACAGAATATCTGTCTGTAGTTTTCAAATGTTAGCGTGTCGGAAAAGAGTTATAATATTTTCCCCGATGCAACATTGACCTAGCATTTAACAAAAGCCATTTAAAAAATCTGGGTTTTTGCACAGACACAAAGTATGTCCTGCCAATATGCTTATTTCTTCTTAGTTTTGGCTTGGAATGTCTACATGATATTTATGTTTACCAAAGGAAAACATTGTTTTTGCTACATCCTCTTCTTCTTCTCCAAACTAAAAAGGTCATTGACCTGAACCAGACCGTCTGTCACCACAGACAGTAACTAGTGTTGGGTTACATCATGTTGCAATTTTATTGCAGGAGGGATTTAGGTTCCTGTCTGACCGTATACATGTATATGTGTTTGAGTAAGAATTAACAGAGCAGATCATATGGGAACTTCAGGGTAAACATTATGCATTTGCTTTGCAAATGTTACGGTAACCATAATCTTATTATTCTGTTCCCAGACTTCCATGTCAGTCGTTCTGTGAAGCTGTGCTGGAGTCATATCTGGGACCTGTTCTAGGAGAGATGACAGATCTAGTCAAGATGGCCTGCTTCCCTCTGCCTGACAGGGACTGTGTCGGGCCAGGTTAGGGTCATCTCTATTCTTGTCTTGTCTTGTTTGGTCATCGTCAAAATATGGATAAGAATTGCTAAAAACATTCTCAACACTCTTAGCTCTATTATCATGTACTTGTTCTTATACCTTTTTACCATTACTAAGAAACAAGAAGAAACGGAACTAACTCAAAAATAAACTTAATCTGTAAATCCATCCTTTTGTTGTGACCTGTACTTAACCCAGCAGTATGTGTGTACAATAAAGGTCTTCATTCCAATTGTATTTCAGCTCCCAGTGAACCTATTGAGGTTGACCAGTGTAAGAACATCCTGCCTTACAACACCACCCTGCTGCCTGACCTGATGGGCCATGTGTCACAGGCAGCATTTCTGGGCGACTCAGACACCCTGGGGGCCTTACAGCAGGTCCTGGACAGCGGCTGTCTCCCTGAGGTTGGGCTGGCTGTCTGTTCCTTACTGCTGCCCAATGCCATGGGTCCTATCAAGGTAAGGTCCTAACTTTATTGGACCCAGGACACCACTACGTTCTATGTCACCTTTTCAGGAAGAAGACACATTGTTTTTGCTCTTTTTTCATAGAAATAAGGTCACTGACCTGGACCAAATGGTAATTGGTGCTGTGGCAGACATTCTGTGGGGTTGGATTACATTATGTAGCAAGTGGCAGGACAGAGCTGTAGGGGCTGGTCACCATGACCTGATCTGGACCACATGGTAGCTGGTGTTGTTGCAGACATCCTGTAATGGTGGATTACGTTATGTAGCAAGTGGCAGGACAGAGCTGGAGGGGCTGGTCACCATGACATAGGTGGTGCTGTTGAAGACATCCTTTGGTGTTGGATTACATTATGTACCAAGTGGCAGAAAAGAGCTGTAGGGGCTGGTCATCATCTATAAAAGATGTTTTAGCAATATCAAACTCACAGGACTTAATAATAAGTTATATAAAAGTCATGACAGCCTCCTAATAATAACTAATGTATATTTTGTGATGTTTTTAATACTACAGGTGCCAGTGTGTAAAAGTTTCTGCAGGAGAGTGAAGGCCCACTGTGGAGTCACCATTGCCAGTCTGGGCCTGGACCTGCCCCTGGACTGTGAGAGTCTCCCAGATATCCTCTGTACCTCCCCACATAACAACACAGTTAACAGTACAGGTAAGGGTCTACTGTTCATAACAACACAGATAACAGTACAGGTAATAGTCTACAGTACATAACAACACAGATAACAGTACAGGTAAGGGTCTACTGTACATAACAACACAGCTAACAGTACAGGTAAGGGTCTACTGTACATAACAACACAGATAACAGTACAGGTAAGGGTCTATACTGTACATAACAACACAGCTAACAGTACAGGTAAGGGTCTACTGTACATAACACAGATAACAGTACAGGTAAGGGTCTACTGTACATAACGACACAGCTAACAGTACAGGTAAGGCCACACCAATTTAATTTGTTGTTTCTCGGATTTTTTCAGAAAAATATGAAGCGACAGGGCGAAAAAAAAACAGGCCAAGGCACCCCATATAATAGCCGGAAACGTTACAATATGAGCCATAAAGTGACCATACCAGGCTGGTTTGTATTTAAAACAATAGATTTGGAACATTTAGTGAAACAAAATTGCATCGTTACATTGAAAAACTTTAAGAACTAGGAAGAAAAGGGCTTTCTTCAATTGTTTGAGGCCAAAATATGTCTTTCATTGAGCATTTTGCAGTTAATTTAGAAGATTTTTTTTTTTTTTTTTGCAAATCAGAAAAAAATGGACAGAACGATCTGAGAAGCAACAAATTAAACTGGTGTGGCCTAAGGGTCTATTGATATAGACTATTAGGTACATAACTGACAGCACTTGTAGCAGCTAAACAGTAACAGGTATGGGTCAATTTGGATGTTCTAGACTAAGTGCAAGACCACATTTTAATTTCTAGAGTGTTTTCCTCGCATATGGTAGGTCGTGAATGAGATCCCCAGGTGAGTCATTCCAAAGACTTTAAGATGGTACATACTGCTTTCCCAGTGCTAAGCTCTCAGCATTTGGGAAAAAGTAGTAAAACACACACCATTACCAGTGGACTAGCCCCTACTGTAGTGATTGCACGTGTGACCCAAGGGTTTTAAACTGGAGAAGGGTGGCTTAGGATTTTTACCTCCGGGGAAGGAGATATCCTTCCGCGAGGAGGTTTTACTATGGTTCGAAACATTTCTGTCAGCAGCTGTTTCTCGCGATCGGCTGGACGGATTTGTCAGTGGTTCGGTATACGTATTGCTATTGGGCTGCAGATGATGCAGAACGTTTTTGTTTAATTGCATATGTGTTTATGGGCGTCGAAATAAAAGGTTTTTAAGTGCTCCGGACACCCCCGCCATGCTGAAAATGGTAATTACCATGTTGTTAAGGAATGGGGCGGTTGCAGTTTTGGGTCTTAGCATTCAAAAGGGGTCAAACAGAGGGGTGTCTGGTTCCGATAAAAATTTTGGGTGACGGCGCAGCAATGACGGCGCGGGATGACGGCGGGGGTAATGGCGCGGTTGACGGTGCAGGCTGTCAGACTGTGAGACACGTTAATCAACAGTCCATACCGAACCAACCGTCAGTAGCCATCAAACACATGCAAACATATTACGCACATAACTTTCATACTACACACAAACAAATAACCTAAACCAATAGAACACAAAAAAACCCGGAGGTTTGAAATCTACGATTTCCCTTGTTTAAAACTAATTTGACCCTCTCAAGTTATCAATCTGCTCATTTTTACATATGTCTTGTTTTCACATTGTACCCCCAGAATGCGAACCCGTCCGTTTTGCCCGCTGTTCAGTACTGTCGCACGCCCACACCAGGTTCCCCAGTCCGATCGGCCTGCCGAGTCAGGACTTTGCGCTGGTGGGAGCCCCGGCCGTGTTCGCGGCGCTGGACATGATACATCTGTCAGACTGTCATCCTCACCTGGACACATTTGTCTGTTCTCTCATCTTCCCAGGGTGCAAGGACAGGTAGGGACTAAGCAGTGTACAAAATACTTTTTTGAACGAGGTTGCCCAGTGGGCAACATACGGCAAAAATTAGGTTGCCCATCAGAATTTTAGGTTGCCCCACCTAGTATATAAGTTACTACTTTCCTCAAATTAAGTAATGCCTTTGACAATATTTCTAACAGCCTTAAGTAACTTAACTGATACTAGTAATAATACCCATTAAAAAGCATCTGCCGGATTCAGTGGTGCAAGCCAAGTGGGCATGATTTCGAGGGGGGGAAGGGGAATTCTTAAAATTCAGGTAGCACACTGGGCTACCTAGGTTCAAAAATAGGTTGCCCCAAGTAAAATTTGGTTGCCCGGGGCAACAGGGCAACCTGGTATTTTGCATGCTGCTAAGATCAGTCTTATCTCGAAAGCTCATCTGTTTTGAAATGACGATTATGAGTCATTATGAAGCAAGTTTGGAACTGCAATATCCAACACAAGAAGTTGGACTCACCCAAATTTTCAGAGACGGGGGGTGCCACAGACTTTCTGCAACCTGTGATCCACTGCTCACGGAGTCATGTGTGTTATCTGCGTGACGTCACGGAAGCGGTAGATTGTTCATTCCTTGACAAAGACTAGAGTTGTACTGTTTGTACAGTCGAAAATTTGTGTGAGTCCAGTTTCTTGTGTTGGATATTACAGTTCAAACTTGTTTCATGAGAGCAGTCTAAATTGTCTATAACTGTGTACTATTTAGCTGAACAGTTTAGAATAGACAGTTTGGTTAATTTCTTTTTTACCGGGTGTGGGAAGTTGGTTTGTTTCCAGTGATGGCGTCTGTCCTTGGTACTGAAACTTGGAATGTTAAATGAGTTTACCTAATAATGATTTTGCTAAAAAACTTAACTAACCAGGAGTGTAATAGTCGGACACTGGGTCAAAGGTATCCGGTAAATGATGTTAGACCCTGTCGCGGTGGAGTGAAGGGTGATGTACCCTGATGTAAATAGCCTTTTTCACCCCTCTCAGGAAATAGTCTTGTTCTGTGTCCAGTGCTAGTAGTATTCTGACCCATTGTTGACGTCACACACACACATTTTTAATGAAAAAAAGCTCTGATTCAAGCCTGGTAATTTTATCTTATCCTCATCCTAAATTTATACTTCAATCATAATGTGCAAGCAGCAAGAATTTCAAAGTAATTGGTATTTCCCAAATACAATTTGTGGCGTCGGGTGGCGTCGTGGTAGATCATTCAACTGTGAACCGGGAGACCCGGGTTTGATCCCGAGTTGTACCCGGGACATGTCTGGACATGTGCCTGACGTTGTGCCCTTGGGAAAGGCACTTAACACGACTTTCCTCACTCCACCCAGGTGTGAATGGGTAACTAACTTCGGTTGGGGAAAGCCGTATTGAGGTCACCTTGTGGTGCCGAATGGCAGCCGCACAGACCCTTACGGTAGTTCCACAAAAGTGTGTGTGGAACAAATATGTATCATGTGTATTATTATGTGTATTATTACCATTTGTAACAAGTTGTTGTAAACTCTGCTTCAATTCAGCACTATAAGGCTGCGATTGCATGGGTGATGTTTGGCCAATAAACCACAATTAGCTGTTAGTATTTGTTTGTGTTTTGCTATATCCTTAATGTTTTATATCATACTGTCATTAATGATATCTTTTCCTTGTGTTTTCAGACTTCCGTGTCGTTCTCTTTGCCAAGACATCGTGACGACCTGCGGGAGGGGGGTAGTTACCATGGTGATGGACATGATTGACATGGAGCTGGGGGACATGATACTGGACGTCGGACTACAGATGACATCACTCGTCTGTAACCAGCTGCCTGAGGAAGACTGCATGGCCCCATCTAAGGGTGGGTCCAGTTTGGAAATTTTTTAATAATGCAACTACATGTAGTAACACTGGCATTGACATGTGGTTATGGTTGCCAACTCACAATCCAAAGGATTTATAATTATCAATAACTGTATTGGGACAGGGGAGGTGGGGCAGCTTGGGATGGGTTTTGCACTGCCTCGGGCAGTGTCCTTAGACCAGTTTGTTACCATCAAGTTTATTCTTCTCTTGTCAATCATTTCTGCAGTGCCATTAAACAAGACTGGTGGACATGCCAAGAACAACACTAGTGAGTTTTGCATATCAATATCTATTTATCTTAAGTTTTGCTTTAATCTGACAGGAAACAACCTTTAAATTTGCATAAAATCCCATTTTAGTTATTAATCAACCAACCTACCAGAATACAAGCCACAGCAATTTGCCATGCTGCTACTATTGATTGCACTGCTAATTGTGTAGCCTGGTGTTACAAGTCTATTTGAGGCCGGTTCTCTTCGGGGCTGTAGGAGCTCTTCACTGCCCAACTTAGCAGTAGGTTCTCCGGTAGGTTTTGCATTACTGGAGTTCAATTAGCTCCACGCTTGGTGCATAAAACTATTATGGGCATAAACTTCCGGATCCCAACGAGTAGCCAGATGACCCGGCGGTGCAAAACTAATAAGAGCCCCTGAAGAGAGCCTGGTCCCAAATACGAGAGACAGGGCACCAGAAGGGTTATGATCTGGCAGAACAGATTTTAACAGAATTTTGTTCTTTTAGCCCTCCCAGAATGCAGTCCAGAGCCGGTACGGTACGGCCGCTGCGGCGTCCTGCTGCACTCCCAGACCAGTTTCCCCAACGCGATGTTCCTGCCGTCACAGGACTTTGCGCTCTCTGTCGTACCCGCCATGTTCGGCGCCATGGACCTCCTCATGCCCGCACCCTGCCACCCCCACCTGGACGTAATGGTCTGCTCCATGTTCTTCCAGGAGTGCTCACCTGAAGGAGTCAGGTGAGTCAAGATTAAATTTGAATGTTTTCTGAGACACGGTCGTTACTGGTTTGACCAAATAGCATTAGATATTAGACAGTCTACCATAATCAGTAGCATCTGAGGCTTGCTCATCATTAGGCTCAAAATAATTTTTAGAATGCATTTGAATATAAGTGTGTGTTTGTGTGTACATCATGCACATTTTGTATGTGTGTATTTGTGTGTGTGTACAATATCGTGTGTACCCATTGTACGTGCCTGTATGACTGTGTGTTACACAGGTGTGTTTGTGTGTGTGTGTGTGTGTGTGTTTATATGACGTATGTGTGTGCATGTACAATGTCATGTACAAAATGTACGTGTACAGTGTCATGTATATTTGTATAATATATATTATGTATATGTGTGTGTGTGTGTATGTGTGTGTGTGTGTGTCTCAAAGTTTGTATGTTTCTGTATTGTGTGCATATGTGTGCATATGTGTATTTGTGTGACAGTGTATTATGTGTATTTGTGTGACAGTGTGTATGTGTGCCTGTATGTTTGTGTAATTTGAGCTGCCATGTTGTTCCGTCCCCAGACTGCCGTGTCGTTCCCTGTGTGAGGAGGTACTGTCTGCCTGTGGAGGAGCTGAGCTGGCCCAGGTTGGCCTGGAGTGGGTCATGTTGGCCTGCTACGCTCTACCGGAGACAGACTGTATCAGTCCTGGTCAGTACTGGTTAAAGTTTACTGAGTCTATTTTCTATTTAATTTAAGAAACAACTAGCAAGTATCCTAAGTAAACTGTTGTGTTACTCCGAAGGGCTGTTACATGTTTACCCACTATAGGACTGGTACAGAACATAGAGCAAAATTTATTAAAATTCCTGTTTGTTCTTAAAATGCCAAAGATGATAAATCTATTGTGGTTGATACATGTATATCAGAAAAGGCCTTTTTTTACAGATGATTTAGATTATGATTATAATTCCTAAACATGTTATTTGGATGTGATTCAGAATGTTTTTAGAGGCTGTCTTTCAGGCAAGTTGACTCATAGTTCAGTAGAAAGACTTAAAGACATTTTGGCAAAGAAAATTGAGCCATTTTTAGCAAAACGTTGTGCTGATCATACAATCATGTACTTGGTTTAAAGATATCTTGTACAGTTTCTACATGATTGTATATCATTGATTCCCTTGCTAATACTAATACAGTTACGGTACTGTTCCATTGTAGGTCCAGCCAACTGGACAGCATTCAATGAAACCCTGCGGAAGCTGCATCATCAGAACCCGGATATGTCCTGGAACCAAACTGACATGTCCAACCATACTGAACATTCGGAAGGCAAGTCTCATAACTATCCCACCTACCACTGACAGTTTACTATCTGTGCAACTTCACTACCAAAAATTTTTTTTCTTATTTTTCTTATTTTCTTATGTTGAGAAATATTTTCTTGCCAGGGGGATTTTCAAGAAAATTCAAGAAACATTCTTCAAAGACTTTGTATGTTGATTCTTACACAAAGAATTTTATTCCTCTTTTTTCCTAAGAAAAGAAAATATTTCTACTATCATGCTCACCAACAAGAATCTTAAGAATTTTTCTGCTATAAGAAATCTTTTCTTGTGTACAGAATGGTTTTCTTGCTCCAAGAACAGTTAGCTCTTAGTTCAGGAAATATTTTCTTGTGGACAGAATCGTTTTGCTTGCTACAGCAAGAAAAATCAAGAAACACATTCGTCAAGTGTTTCTTGAATTTTCTTGCTACGGGGATTCTTAAATTTCTTGTTCAAAGAATAATTTTCTTGCTATAAGATACATTTTCTTTGCAGAAGAAAGAAGAAAGAAAAACAAGAAAAAGCATTTTTGGTAGTGTTATTAAACACAAGTTGACCTAGAATGTGGAAGCTACACATTTATTATTGTAACATACAATCAAAACAGCATTATTCTAATTAGTCAATAGTCTTCTGTGCAGGGATAGTAATGCCTTTGTGAAACATACTATACCTGCGTGAAACACGTAATGTATCGTGCATGACACTTTGGCAGAATGTGTCATCTTTCTTTCTGACTTATTCAAGGATGACATCCCATCAACAGTTTTCAAATGTTGCATTGAACCAGTTTATTCTCTCACTGCAATGGGCAGAATTCTGATGCAACGTTGACCAAACATCCCATAAAAATGGTGTTACAGTGAAATCTGGGTTTTGCAGTATGTTCTGCAGACATGCTTTTAAAAGCTACAGTGTGTATACTATGTGTATACTGACATGTGTAGTAATTTATTTCCTTTTTTTTCCTCCAGAATTTGAGTGTGAACCGATTTACTACGACCGTTGCGGCGCCCTGCCCTATCCCCACGCCATGTTTCCTAACATCCTCGGCCTGCCGTCTCAAGACTTCAGCATGTCTATCGCATCTTCCATCTTCACCGGGATGGACCTCCTCGGACTGTCCGACTGTCACCCTCAGCTGGAGGACGTTGTCTGTTCCCTCTTCTTCCCAAACTGCACCAAGGGAGACTTCAAGTAAGACTGCAGATGGCATCCACCATCTTTGTCGGACTCAGCTACTGACGATGGCAGTCATATGACCAAGAGGTTAAAAGGGCAACAAGGGTTGTATATTGGGGTAGTCAGTGACAGCCTTGATCACGATTCAACGTTATACATTAAAATCTTCATTGTCACAGCAAAAGCATAATATAGTCTGTGACTTTCCTAAGGTTGTCTACTGCAGGAAAGACACAAGGTTGAGCCTGACTCCCAAAGATAGACCCCGCGTGGCATGCACAACCGCTAGACCAATAGGTCCCGAACCCATTGGGCTGGGTAGTTGGTGACGCCTATTTACTCACTGTTACACTACAAGCAAACAAGTGGATACAAGTAAACTGTCTTATATAAGTAGATTCTTAGTATTGGGTGATATTCCAGTGAACAACAATGAAGCACAATGATCCCATGGTGCGATCAGGCTGGCTAAAAGTGTGAGAAACGTACCATACCGTTATGATTTCAGGCTGCCGTGCAGGTCTGTGTGTCAGGAGATCATCACGTCCTGTGGAGGTCCTGTCCTGGGACTACTGGGGCTGGACCAGACCCCGCTGACCGCCACCCTGCCCTGGCTGGCCCTGGCCTGTATGGCCCTGCCTGACCACAACTGTGTAGCACCAGGTGTGTTATATATCCTTAGACTATATAATTCTCATCATTTTGTTCTCTTTCCCTCATGCTAACCCAACCCTAACCTAACCTTGCACGGCTGTGCCCCAGGACAGCGGTGTTACAGGCAACTGGTGGTGGTAGACCCATATAAAGTATACAGTGACACAGTACTGTAACACTGTGACAACATTTCATCATCATCATCATCATCATCATCTTCGATACTGCTCATCCCTCTAAAAAGAGGATTATTAGCACCTGCGCAGATTAGTGACTGTGTGCAAACAAAGGGTAGGGTAGGGATGGACGTAGACAAGTGCAAGGACAGGACAAGTGGAAATCAATGGTTCTTATATTACACATATTTACACATACATAATGTACAAGGACAGGGAGGCAGCTCAATGCAGCTCTGCTTTGAACTGGGAGATGGACTTCGCCTCTGCCACACTAGGCTCAAGTTCATTCCACTCCTTGATGGTGCGAGGGAAGAACGAGAGCCTGTAATACTTATTCTTACTCGCGATGGTCTGCAGCTTTAAAGCGTGATTAGTGCGGCGGGAGCATCGAGCTGCCGGGACAAGACACGAGGTGTGGGGGACAGAGATGGTGTTGTGCAGGACTTTAAACATTGTAGTAAGCCTGGCCATTTTACGGCGGTGTTGGAGTGATTTCCATTCCAGGTTACCTACCTGGCAATTGTTGCCCCTTTTTTTACAATCATGTACTTTCCATTGACTCTATCATTAAGAATCCCCTCCGTGGTGTCCACCAGTCTACACTGACAATTTTTGTCACATTTTTACATGGAGTCATCACTATAGACAGGTTTAACAGTATCAATGAGTTTTTCTACATTGTACATTTTGCTTATAACCTTTCCTCCTGTTTCAGCACAATACAGTGGACCACTGGCACCCCCTGTTGCGGCTGCCTTGTACAACAACACAGGCAAGTGTGGGCAAATTACATCTGGATTCACAATTTCAGACAATTGTTTGTTGGCCAGGCTCATCCTTCAATCTTGATACAGAAGTTGTTTTTTTTTTACATTTCGGCGCATGCGCGCCGAAATGTAGTAAGACGGATTCTATCCTTCTTTCTTTCTTTCTTTGGTAGTTTGGTAATACTGCAGGCCATGCAATACCTCTTAACTTCTTTCCGGTTTGTGGCATAAGCAATAGACTTGCTGCCATTTTAATCCATGTTCTTTACAAAAAGAAACTTTATGTAGTAACAGTCTCATCTACTGACATAATATTGATCGAGGTATGGTTGCATAAGTTTTTAGGCGCTAATTTATTGATCGTACCACAAATCTAAAGATGATTGCATAAATTATGTTAATGACGACAATAATGCCACCTGTCGCTAGATGTCGTTGTTGCATGTCCTGGCGAAGTTTCTCTATTATGTTTGCTACTTTTATGTTTGCCTGTTGCATTGTTCTTACTCAGGAATGTCAATACGTTTGATACTTACTCTGTTTAAAGACGGGCTTTCATGTTTCAATCATAATTCGCTCGGACCTGCCCAATTTTCTCGGATGGCTATATATATAGTATGTTGTTTAGGCGCTCCACAATGACATAATGATATAGCTCAACGAGTAGAGTTGCTAGATGAGTGGCGGTGCACGTGGCGGGGTCTAGACATTGAGAGTTCGATCCCCGGTGAGGAACTTTTTTTTTTAATTTTCTTTTTTTTTTAAATTTTTTTTTTAAATTTTCTTTTTTCTAATTTTCTTTTTTTTAATTTTTTAATTTCTTTTTAAATTTTTTTTAATGTTCTTTTTTTTTAATTTTCTTTTTTTGCGGTGCACGTGGCGGGGTTTGCACATAGCGAGTTCGATCCCCGGAGAGGAGCTTTTTTTAATTTTCTTTTTAGCAATCGCTGTTTTGCTTTTAACACTCAAAAACTAATTGTTCAAGTCCCGACGTATGAGTTTTTTAAATTTTCTTTTTAACATCCGCTGTTTTGCTTTTTTTATCAGATGTGTTTTCTTCTTTAAGTGGTCTCGTACCAATTTCATCAACTTGGGTAATATCATTTCAACAACTTCTACCTCAATAACGGCCGCAGTAAAACCTTCGTCAGCCGAAATGTCAGCTTTTTTTAAAAGCACTTGTTTAATTTGTTTTCACCATGATTGTGATGTTTGTTTGACTGTTTATATTACTTTCAGAATGTGAACCAATCAGCTACGACCGCTGCCTGGCCATGCCGTACTCCACGACCAGGTTTCCCAGCCCGTTCGATCTCCCGCTGCATGAGGCAGCGCTGGGCGCGGCGCCGGCCATATTCGGAGTTCTGGACATGCTGATGTTGTCTGCCTGTCATCCACACCTGGAGTTCCTGGTGTGCTCACTCGCCTTCCCAAAGTGTGAGGCTGACAGTATCACGTGAGTAACGGGGAGATGGCAGACTTCATCCCCCCTATGTACACATACACACTCTCGCCTTCCCAAAGTGTGAGGCTGACAGTATCACGTAGAGTAACGGAGAGATGGCAGACTTCACCCCCCCCATGTACACACACACACTCTCGCCTTCCCAAAGTGTGAGGCTGACAGTATCACGTGTGTAACGGAGAGATGGCAGACTTCACTCCATGTACAAAATGTAGTACGCTCACACACATGTACATGCACTCGCTTGCCTGCAGACTGCCAGACTAAAAGCATCTTGTGAGTAACAGAAAAATTTAACCCAATGTACAAACATACACACACATAAACACACACAATTGTACACACACAGACACTGTGATAGACACACACAAACACACACGCACGCACACACACACACACACACACACACACACACACACAAACACACACACAGATTGACACACAGACAAGCCTAGTTGGCAACCTGAGAAAAAAGTTACAGTATTTAATTTTCTGAATAGCCCCATGTTTTTCATGATCAGTTTTTATATACAGTGACCCCCTTTTCCACAGGCCCAGCACCAGACTGACCAAGTTTCCTTGTGTTTGTTCAGTCTGCCCTGCCGTTCCCTGTGTGAGGAGATAGTAGGTACATGTGGGATGTCCCTGCTGGCTGAGATGGGGATGGAGTGGGTCATTCTGGGCTGTTCTGTACTGCCGAACAAGGACTGCATCAAACCTGGTCAGTTCATACATTGTATACTATCATGAAAGTTCATCTTTGTTGGCAGTTACATATTTCAAATTAAAACTTTGGTCCAACACAAAAAAAAATTTACTGCGACGGGGACCAATATCGTCTACCAGATACCTTTGACCCAGTGTTGACGTCACACTTCAAAGAAGCCACGTGACAAGCTTCACTGGATCAGTCTACTGAGGAAGACCAGAGTGACTGGTCAAAAGCTCTAGGTGAGAGAATTTTTTTTTGTGTTGGACCAAAAGTTTTAATTTTAAACACTGGTTAGTTCATTGTCTCTGTAACAAGGCATCATGCCAACTGTCCAGCCTAATTGGTTGTGGGTTGAGACACCACGTTCAGAGCGGGTTTGATCCCTTTCTCTGGTGTTACATCAGATTGTGTATATTACAGGTAGCCACATTCCATACGAGTTATTGCTGTTTTTGTTTACATCATGAACATGTAAATTATTTGAAGGCATTTGGAAATTATCAGTAGGCAAACCACCCAACTGTAGCCCACGTTTTGCCTACCAGTCATTCACAAATTGATTACCAGTAAACAAATAAATGATTTATTTGGGATGCATGGTTGTGTAAAGAGCTCAAGCTGATTACAAAGATGGCAATCACTGTTTCTTTTGATAAATATTATAAGATGTTATAATGTCATTCATGTTTGTAATATTTTCCAGACAAATACACAGGGTCAGCTCAGCTCAACATGACACTGACTGGTGCAGGTGAGTTTGAAATAAATGCTTTATGATGCATGGTTGCCACAAACTTCAGATCTATAATACAAAATTCAATACAACCCGAAAGCCTTTAAAACTAACGTTCATGTGACTGCCATGTCCTATACATGTACCTCCCATTAACTAAGTTCAGTGCCCTGAAGAGGGCTTCTCAATCAATAGCAGGGCTCAAAATTCATTTGGAATAGGTGCACTGGTGCAACCAAATTTTTGTGTGCACCATATAGAATAAAATGGGTAGAATGTCAGCAAAAAATTATTGTTTCATTTCACAATCTTAAGAAAAGTAGTACAAGTCTTTAGAATGATTTGAAACTAAGATTTTTCTGACACTGACATAGAATATGCTGTACATGTATACTACAAAACTATACATTTAACATCTTGACATACGTAAACCCATGAAAATATTTGGGTGCACCAGTGCAAAAAAAATTGGGTGCACAGCTCCAAATTTGGGTGCACGATTTTGAGCCCTGAATGGCCTTGCATTGAAATCATTTTTCAAATATCCACCCGTCCCCCCAGAGTGTCAGCCCGTGCGACACCCCCGTTGCTCACCGATGGACTACCCCTACACCTACGCGGCCTTCGGACTGCCGAGTCACGAATTCCCCCTCGCCATCGCCTCCGCCATCTTCACAGGCATGGACCTGCTCGGCCTGTCTGGTTGTCATGGGAATCTGGATGATGTCATCTGTACGCTCTTCTTCCCCAACTGCTCTGCTGATTGGTTCAAGTGAGTTGCCATGGCAACTATTATTTTGTCAACAACCTTTAGGAATTTCAGCACACCTCTACATGTTGCTGTTTGAAGATCATGTTTGTTTATTTGTTTGTTTATTTTGATGTTTTTCCAGATTCTGCCACAGGTCGTTGTTTTCCTCCAGACTTCCATGCAGGTTGCTTTAGAAGATCATGTTTGTTTATTTGTTTGATTATTTTGTTGTTTCCCCCAGACTGCCTTGCAGGTTCATGTGTGAGAAAATTTTGCTGTCTATTTGTTTGTTTATTTTCAATTGTTGCTGTTCCCCCAGATTGTCCTGCAGGTCAGTGTGTGAGGAGATGCTGAGTACCTGTGAGGTGCCTGTGCCATAGTGTTTATTTCTTTGTTTAATGTATTGTCGTTGTTCCCCCAGATTGCCCTGCAGGTCAGTGTGTGAGGAGATAATGCGTACATGTGAGGTGCCTGTGCCATAGTGTTTATTTCTTTGTTTGTTTAATATATTGTCGTTGTTCCCCCAGATTGCTGTGCAGGTCAGTACGTGAGGAGATAGTGAGCACCTGTGGGTGCTTGTGTGAGAGCATGTTGTTTAGTTGTCTGTTTGTATTGTTTATTTATTGACAATGTGTTTTTGCTGTTGTTCCCCCAGATTGCCCTGCAGGTCAGTATGTGAGAAGATAGTGAGCACCTGTGGGTGCCTGTGTGAGAGCATGTTGTTTAGTTGTCTGTTTGAATGTTTATTTATTGTATTTTTGCTGTTGTTCCCCCAGATTGCCCTGCAGGTCAGTGTGTGAGGAGATAGTGAGTACCTGTGGAGTACCTGTACTGGGACTGTTGGGGCTGGACCAATCACCGCTGGCTGCTGTTCTCCCCTTCCTCGCCACTGTCTGCTCAGCTCTGCCAGATGAGGACTGTGTCGCTTCTGGTTTGTTTGTTTGTTTGTTTGGGCCTTTGTTTATTTGTTTTTATCAAGTTGGCCTGCTGGCTACTTTTTGAGTAGGTGCACAAGTGAAGTGCTTGGGGTTATATAATATTAAGTATAACAAAGTACAGGTTACATGATTAAGATATTTTGTTTAACTATGTTTTACATATAGGGTCAATTTTTCAGAAACAGTAAAAAGTCAAATGTACAAGGTCCAATGATTTTAAAAAGCGCATTTTTCATTCCCTGCTGTAACTAAAGGTAGATTTAGTATTACATGTTATTTTCAATGTAGATGCAATAAATGCTAATACATTGTACGTATTGCATGTCATACAATTATTGTGCAATGAAGCTTATAATAATATATGATAATATAATGAGACATCTAATATCATGATGATTATATTTACAGATGTATCAAATGATCCCAGTGCTCCCTCTGCTGAAATGATACTAATGATGAGTCTGTATAACGGCACAGGTGAGAACATTGTTCTTCCTTATTAATAAGCTTTGTCACACCTGCTGGAAACAACTCCTTAATTCTACTGCTGCTGCTTTTTTAAGTCTTCAAAGTACCCATGCAAAGCAGAACCTGATGTAATTATATCATTGATTGTTATCATTTCAATCTTAATATCAATTTTACACAAAAAGCGATTTCAGTGCACAGTGAACCAGCAACACCAGTCCTAGCTTCGCTGATATGATGGGAACCAGTCATTTTAACCCTGATAAAGATGACAGACGGTCATTGAAACGTTGCCTCTTCTAAACAAGTCGTTGTGAATAAAGTCTTTGAAATTCAACTTCAGTCTTTGTCAAGGAATAAGCAATCCACTTTTGTGGTGTCAGCTTATGCTGAGTAGTGGATCATAAGTTGCAGAAAGTTTGTGGCGCCCCCTGTCTCTGTTGAGGGATAGTTGCAATGCCCTGATCTTTTTACTATCATCATGAAAGTAACTGTTCATCTGACAGTGTGTACTAGCTACTAGGTAGTTTCATGTTTAAGTGAAAAGTTTTAATCCAACACAAAGAAATTCTCTTACCTAGAGCTTTCGACCAGTCACTCTGGTCTTCCTCAGTAGACTGACCCAGTAAGACTTGTCACGTGGCTTCTTTGAAGTGTGACGTCAAGACTGGGTCAAAGGTATCTGGTAGACAATGTTGGCCCCGTCACGGTTGAGTGAAGGGTGATGGGTCATGATTTTTTGTCTCCCTGTTTTTGTTTTTCCAGAATGTGAGCCCGTCCCCAACGATCGCTGTGCGGCCATGTACTCCCAGACACGGTTTATAAACGACATTGACCGCGGTCTGTCTGCCACGCTGGCGCCGGCACTGTTCGGTACGCTGGATCTACTGATGATGACAGACTGCCACCCCTACATGGACCTCTTCATGTGTGCACTCGTGTTTCCAGATTGTAAGCCTCAAGGGGTCAAGTAAGTTCTTGTTTGTTTGTTTGTTTGTTCCCTGAGTGTTCATGCTTGTACACAGACTTCAGTCGTAATTTTCCTGTTTAAAATTAAAACTTTTAATCCAATACAAGAAGTTCTCTCACCTAGTATATAAGTTATAATATAATTCTATATTATATATATAGAAAGAGCTTTCAACCAGTCACTCTGGTCTTCCTCAGTCGACTGACCCAGGGTCAAAGGTATAATGTACTTGACAATGTGTATCTGGTAGATGACGTCAGCCCTTGTCTATTTCTAATCATTACATTAATTCTATGTTATATTATTTTCTTAATTATGTATACTTTTTCATCTATTATTAGGCTCCCTTGGGAATCAGCCTTTTTCGGCCTATGAGTTCCAAAGATCATGTTTTATTGATTTTTTTATCACCGTTTCCCCAGGCTGCCGTGTGCATCGTTCTGTCAGGAGATCCTGTCCTCCTGTGTGAGTCAGGCGCTGAACTCCACAGAACTGGAGTTTCTCATGTTTGCCTGCTATGCACTGCCTGAACAGGACTGCATCTCACCATGTAAGTGATACAGACTTCTTGTTGTTGTTTTTTTTGTCTCCTTTATTACAATGTCCATTAGTGCGATTTAATATTCTGGTGATGATGTTGATGTGGGTAATATGAGACAGGGTTCACCAGGCCTCCATCCGGGTGATTTGAAGTGAATGACCAACCTTAGTTATTCAGCTAATACTGGACCATTGCAAACCGAGGCATGCTCCTAATCTTGTTCAAAAGGTGTGGTGGGTTCTTTACCATTGCCCAGGTTGTGGTTCTTCCCAAACATGAATGAAACTTTGAAAGACAGCCTGAACTTAAAACCAATGGGAAATGATGATGATCCACTTTTGTTTCTTCTTTTTTGTTAAAATGGTAATTTCTCTTTTTATCCTTTTTGCAGACCAGCCCATGTATAACCAGACATCAGGGAGCAGGATGGCAGTCCCACAAAACAGCTCAGGTATAGAGCAATATATATGGAAAACAAGAAATGATTTTGGCTTGAAAGTTTAACTGTGTCTTTTAAAGTCAAACTTTCAAGCTAAAATCATTGCTAAAATCAAGTAAAATTGTTGGTAGAAGCTGTTATGAAACAACGCCAAAAAAGCCAAGTCACTTGAGCAAAATCGTTGTCCAGTTGCTTGTCAATGAGTAACTGTTTATTTTTTGGCATGTATAGCTTATTACCTGCCAGTGGATGTCTAACCTTCACTGAGGCACATGATACACATGATTATGATACGCATGAAGATTGAACTGTAATTTCAAACACAAAAACTGACAATGTTACAGAAGCAGAGGATAATGTTCATTTCTTCACAAAGACTTGAAACAGCTAGTACTTAGTTGTACAGTTGAAAATTCCGTCATTAAGTCCAACTTATAATCATTATGTTGGAAATTACAGTTCAAAGTTGATTCACAAGAGGATTTAACTTGACCTTACCCTTGATGGAAGCTGTAGACCATCTACTACAATACAAAAAGAGCTCAGGACCCTTTATATATAATAATCATTGGCTTGATGTACTGTTCCCCCTTTCACAGAATGCCATCCAATCCGGTTCAGCCAGTGCTCAGCCGGTCTCCCGTACTCCCACACCCGCTTCCCAAACCTGCTCATGCAGCCTAACCAGGAGTTTGCCGGGGCCACGGCGGCCGTTGTGTTCTCTGTACTGGACATGCTGGGTCTGTCACACTGTCACCCTGACCTGGAGTCTGTCATCTGTGCACTGATGTTTCCTACATGTCAACCTGAGGGGACGATGTAAGTATACCTTTTGTTTGTTTGTTTGTTTGTTTGTGTTCTCTGTACTGGACATACTCCACCTGTCACACTGTCACCCTGACCTGGAGTCTGTCATCTGTGCACTGATGTTTCCTACATGTCAACCTGAGGGGACGATGTAAGTATACCTTTTGTTTGTTTGTTTGTTTGTTTGTGTTCTCTGTACTGGACATGCTTCACCTGTCACACTGTCACCCTGACCTGGAGTCTGTCATCTGTGCACTGATGTTTCCTACATGTCAACCTGAGGGGACGATGTAAGTATACCTTTTGTTTGTTTGTTTGTTTGTTTGTGTTCTCTTTGAAAAAATATCATTTTTTGGGGAACTTTTAGTAAAATCTTGAAGAGATTATGGTAACTGTCTCTAAAATCTTGACTGTTTTTTTTTTCAGTTTTATAATCATGAGTCTTTTTAAAGGATGAAATGTTTTTATTACCAAAGTTTCCTCGAAGAAATAAAATGTTGATAAAGCTCCCTCTATCATGATTTCTAGGCTGCCATGCCGTTCCCTGTGTGAAGAAGTCATCATGTCCTGTGGAGTCCCAGTGTTAGGACTGGTGGGACTGGATAACACCCCCCTCCCCACTGTCCTGCCATGGGTAGCCATGGTCTGTCTCCCCCTGCCTGAAGACAACTGCATCACTCCTAGTCAGTCAACTTTAAACTCACATTATATCATCATCACTTTTATAATGAATTTATTAAGGATTGTTGACTTTTATTTTCATTTTTGTCGTACTGGACTATTATTTGTAATCAGTAATTGTGTAACGTACATTTTGTAGATATCTATAAGAATATTAGTAAGCAATTAAAAATGATCAGACTTTTTTTCTACATCCTTTCCCTCTTCGAAATTGAATGAAATATTGTAGGAGGATGTAAGATTAGTTAAAGTTGGTTTATCGGAAGATTTAAGGGATGCAAATTTCTCTTAACGGTGCACACCCCAGTTCTTCTGCGACCGGGGTCCGTGGTAGTCCGTTGTAAAAAAGTGACGAAAGGGTTTTGAGGGTCCAAGTTTGAGGTGACATTTCTCATAAACTGCCATGAAATATCACTAAACATTGACATGGCTGAAGAGTGTAAGAAATGGTGATTTCGGGGTGAAAATGCATTAATGTCTTTTGGCTCCAAACCTTACTTCCGGGTATCCTTGCGTACCAAGTGTAATCCGCCCGTTTGACCTAGATTTCGCTCTGCGCCTTCCTAAGAGTGAATTTGCAACCCCTCGCGCCGTGGACAGTTAAAAAAAATTACAGTACTAGGATTTTCTTTATAATTTACTCGGGTATAGTCAAGGCTTGGGTCTTTCTGCCAGAATCAGTCATTTCTGCCGTAAAATTTTTTTCTATGGGATTATCCTACGCGAAAATTTGCAATTTTGGAGTGAAAATAATGTTTTTTCTGTTGATTTTACCAAACTTAAAAAGGTTGAAGAAACCAAACTCAGCTGGTCTTGTAGCTGAAGAGATATCCTTTCGTCTCATATACAGTTATTCTCCTTCCAAATTATTCCACGGCAGAGACGGTCACTAGATTTGAGGCAGCTTCAAATAGAAATGCCAAATAAACTGGGGTGTGCCCCCTTAACTATTGACAAGTATTAAGCTACTATCTAAGGTGAATACAGGACATTTATGCACCTGATAAAACATAAAAATGTAGGACAGATGCAATAAAAATTTTCATGCCTAAAATTAACTTCTTTTTACCATTCTTCAGCTTCCCCTACAAGCCCACCAGCCATGGCCCCAGGACTGGGACCTATCCTGTATAATAACACAGGTCAGTGCAAACTTGTGGATAGTCGTCACTCTAGGAAGTTCAACATGCTTATGTCAACTTTGGGAAAATAGTCCAAAGGACTACCAAAATTATAATATAAATTATTATATAGCCTACATACTATAATAATTATTATAGTAACTTGCTCATTGTGCTGAAGTTGTGCAGGTTTCTGCATGGGATATGTATGTCAACATGCCTAAAACATTACCTCCACACCAGGAGGTAACTACATTAAATTTTGTAGTAGTGTATGACTGATGGTATGGTGATGTCCTTGGTGCTGAATCATTTGTTGGTAACATCCTATGTAAGGCCATACCAATTTAATTTGTTGCTTCTTGGATTTTTTTTTTTTTAATGGAGCGACGGGGCAAAAAAAAAACAGGCCAAGGCACCCCATGGAAGCCGGAAATGTTACAATATGAGCCATGAAGTCAACATACCAGGCTGGCTTATAATGAAAACAATAGATTTTGAACAAATCCGAGAAACAACAAATTAAATTGGTGTGGCCTAACATATCAATGCATATGACTAAGTACAAATGTACACAACTTGGTGTCTTTTGATTTCTAGCCATCTTTTTTGCAGATCCTGTTTTCTACAGATCTAGAGTATATAGTTATTTATCAATACATACATTCATATCCAGGCTTTGATTATTGGCTAGACTAGAGTCTACAAAAGAATGTATTGAATATTAATAATAATAGTTCCAAAAATGCTTGAAGATTGAATCCCTTTAAGTTTAATATTTCTCTTTAATTTCTACTCAACATAATATTAAACTCTGGATGTTAATTTTGATTATCTTTCTTTCCCAGAATGTGTTGATGTTCCATATGAACGCTGCTCTGCCCTGCCGTACTCAAAGACCAGGTTCCCGAGCATGCTGGGAGATTTCGGACCGCAGCTGGCGTACGGCGTGGTTCCTAACGTGTTTGGGGTCATCGACCTTCTGCAGATGTCTCACTGCCATCCTCATCTCGATGTCTTCATCTGCTCCTTGGCTTTTCCCGAGTGTTCTCCTCAAGGAGTCAAGTAAGGCATCCAGTGCAGTTTGTAGGGCTTGGACACCCGACTTTTAAAGTCTATATTCTAGTCATTTAATATGTACATACTAAGTTGAAACCACACTATCTCAATGTATGCTGGAGCAAAAATTCCAAAATTCTGACAGAAACCGTTTACTGGAAGGGCCCTGGGATTTTTTTCAGGGTACCACCCAGAAAATAAAGGACTCATCTTGGGGCTTGTTTCTGCAGTTTTAAATGCCCATTAAGTATGAAATGCTGAATTTAAATGTGCTAATGTGAAGCAGTATGTGGCAATATCACAAAGATCATCTTATTCAGAATATTTCCAGTTTTGCTGTGAAAAATCGTATTAAATGCCTTTAAAGGCATCCACTGCAGTTTTAGGGTGGCAATTGCTAAACAAAATTATTCTGCATATAAGGAAATCTGTCTTTTAGCATATTTCAGCCATCATTTCATACTTGGAGTGTTTGAAATACTAGTAGCCCCAAAAGAAGCTATGAGAGAAGTCTCCTAATTTTTTGGGTACTTCCCATTTATAAACAGCTAGAACTTGAGCCTATGATTCAAAACAAGCAACCGTTTTCTGTCAGCAACATTGAAGTTTTACCTCACAGATACATGTATGAGTATGCTTTGGGATAGGGATGTTTTAACTTAGGTTAAAAGAATAATCAGAAAACGATGTATTCTTGGTCAATCTGTACCCACATGTAGTCTATGAAACTAGTTTAAATACGGTAACCATTATCAAGCCACTTGTCCTCTGCCCTCCCCCCCCCCTCCGCTTTTGCCATTTGCCTCAGACCATGAAATTTTTCCTCCATGAAGACAAAGTGAATTTAAGTACTAATTTATGTTTTTTACTTCATGTTTCCCCAGGCTGCCGTGTGCATCGTTCTGTCAGGAGATCCTGTCCTCCTGTGTGAGTCAGGCGCTGAACTCCACAGAACTGGAGTTTCTCATGTTTGCCTGCTTCGCACTGCCGCAGGACAACTGCATAGCAGCTCGTACGTTTGGTTTACATCATTTCAGTTTCTTTATCTCCATTTGAACATTACAAGGTATAGATATAGTGGATGATACAGAAAAGTGATAGCAGTAAAATAGAACATTATTTAAACATTCAACTAAATGGCTGATAGAGCTTGTTTCTTTCAATTGTTGATTAATTTCACATTTACTAACTTTGTTCTTTGAAATTTTTTTTGCAGCTTCCCAGGAAGAACCAATGAGGGAAGCTGCTTCATATAACAGCACAGGTAACTCTTGTTTAAGAGAACTTTGTGTTTGTACATGAAAAGGGGGAGGGGGGGGTAACAGCAGAGTGAGTTGAAGGTCAAAGTGGAGGTCAAAATGGTCTCCCTGTAGGTCAGGAAGAAGTGACAGTAGAATATGTGCAGAATCAATGATAAATAAAACAATCAAGAAATTCACAACTCTAAATACTAAGCATACTGCAAACATCTTTGATTTCCTTTCTGCAAACAACTTCTGTGCTCTTTGTGTTGAAACAAAAGTTTTACCTTTAAACATCTTTCATTTATTTCCTGTTTTGTTGTTGCAGAGTGCCAGCCTCTTCGTTACAACCGTTGTTCATCACTGCCCTACTCCAACACCCAGTTCCCAAACCTGGTCATGCAGCCAAACCAGGGCTTTGCCATCGCCTCTGCTCATGGTGTCTTATCGATGCTGGACATGGTCGGGATGACGCAGTGTCACCCTCACCTGGAGACCATCGCCTGTTCAATGTTCTTCTCTCCCTGTCACCCGCAGGGTTTCATGTGAGTGCTAGTTTCTGACAAAAATGCCCCTGCAGTTCCAGAGAGCAATACTAGGGGGCCCAAACCTTTGCCAGTGTCACAGTTCTCTGCTCTTCTCTCTGCAGCTGTGAGCTGCAGGGTTTCATGTGAGTGCTAGACTCTGACAAAAATGCCCCTGCAGTTCCAAAAATCTTTGCTAGGGGCCCAAACCTTTTCCAGGGCCACTATCACCTCTCCTCTCTGTTTTTCTCCACCTGAACCACAAGGTTTTATATGGGTGAAAGTTGCAAGTCTCCAACAAAAATGCCCTAGGATTGCAGTACAAAAATCTTTGCTAACCTTTCTCAGTGCACCCACATCTGGAGGCCTGTGACTATTTGTTGGTCTTCCCCTGTGAAATACAGGGTTTCATGTAAGTGTACCATCAAACAAGATTCCCACAAAAATGCCCCTGCAGTTCCAAAATTCTCTGCAAGGGGGCCCAAACCTACATTATATACCACATTTTGTCTTTCAAGTCTTGCAAATCTGAAAGATTCATATTGTATATCATATGAGTACTATTAGACTTTAGACTAGTAGCATATTGATTAAACTCAATAACAAAACTTCATCCAGTTGACAAGTTTATAGGAAAATAAGCATCAAGGGTAGAAGAAGTGTAACAGTTTTAGATGATGATATTTCTTCTCTTTTCCGTCAGGTTTCCGTGCCGCTCGTTGTGTGAGGAGATCGTGACGTCCTGCGGAGGGGCCGTACTCGGTCTGGTGGGTCTGGAAGAGTCGCCGCTCGTAGAGGCTTTGCCGTGGTTGGCTGTCGTCTGTAACGCTCTGCCGGACACAAACTGCATCAGTGGAGGTTCTTCAGGTTAGGACCACACTAAGACCACACCAATTTAATTTGCTACATGTAGGTCTCAGGTTTTTTCAGAAAATATATGAAGTAACAAGGCAAAAATAAAATAAAATAAAGACACTAGGCATCCTATCATAACCCCAAATGCTACGATAGGAGCCATGAAGTCAATACAAAAGGCAGGGTCAACATTTAAACAATGAATTTTGAACTTTGAATCAAACCAATGCATTGATAGATGGAAGAACTGTAACAACTAGGAAGAAAAGGACTTTCCTTAACTGTTGGGGCAAAATATGAGCAATTTTGAGTTGATTCAGAACCAATTTTTTTTTTCAAATCAGAAAAAAAAGAAGAGGCAAATCCGAGAACTAACAAATTAAATTGGTGTGGCCCTATACACTTTAAGAAGTCTTCACATGAAAATCGCTTTGAAGAAACTATCTTCTAGCATGCATAGTCCTGAGGTTAGCAACCCTGCCTCTGGATTAAGAGCTTGGGAGTTTGAATCCCGTCTTTTGTCGTTCACCTGTCATGTACGCTACTGTAAAGAGTTGCAATCCTAAGGATGGGGTGTTAAGTTGTGGTCTACTGTTTATTGTTTTTTTTTTTTGAGACAGAGGAAGACAAAGAATACCACTTTTTTTTGATGTGCAAGTTTTCAGAATCTGATGTTAAGAGAGGGGTAGTTTTTTAACTGTGAACATGTGAAAGTTAGTGTAGAGTTTGGGGCCTTGACATAAAGACTTCATATTTCAATCTGTCTGATTGCTCTATTCCAGGTGGGCCTGGCCAGGCAAAACCACACAACCACACTGGTAAGAGCTCAGTAGTAAATCTCTGGAAATTTCCGTTTAATTAATTGCATAGTCAACAGAAAATAAGCTGCAAACTGCAAGTTTGGTTTGTAATTTCAAAAGAAATAAGCTAAAAATATTAAAATTAATTACACATCCTCTGTCACATATACATTCATTTTGTTCTAAGTAGACTCGGAGAATAACAACATAAGTAATTTATTAAAAGTAGAACTTTCTGTTAGCACATGGTTTTATACCAATCTTTAATACAAATCTGTACCAGCCATCGGACATGAAGTTGCAATAAAGAACTATACATGTATACATGCATATAATAAAAAATAAAATAAAATAACATATTATTACTTAATAGTGGCCTAACAGTTAATATACAGATGATTTGATATTTGAACTAATTTTGTATTTCTTTTCTGTTCCAGCCTGTGAACCAGTTCAGTATGACCGTTGTATGGTGCCAGACGCCCAGACGATCTTCCCAAATTTCTTTGCACTGCCGAGTCAAAACTTTGCCCTGGTCGTCACACCTGCCGTCATGGGCCTCCTGGACATTCTGCAGGTGTCCAGGTGTCACCCGCACCTGGATAAACTCCTCTGTTCTCTGTCATTCAAGCAGTGTACACCTGATGGAGTCAGGTAAGGACCTTAAGCAAAAAGAAAAGAGTTACTAAATAATTAAGCCAAAAAAATACCTTGCCCAAAAAATGCCTGGTGCACATCGTTTTTTCTTCCAAAGCAACCTTATTAAAGTTTGGATATGGCAGCCCGGATTTTTTGTGGTAGATCCAAGTTGAGTTCCATCTTTAACCATTAATACTGTCTTTGAAATGGGGGCAATATGTATTTCAAGTTAAAACAGTTACTGTTATTCTCACATAGAGCTTTCGAACTGTCACTCTTCAATAAACCGATCAGGTGAGACTTGTCACTACATGGCTTACATCAGAGCCCATCACACGTTGGGGGCTGACATCGTCTACCAGATACTTTTGACCCAGTGTTGACGTCACACTTCAAAGAAGCCATGTTACAAGTCTTACTGGGTCAGTCTATTGAAGATGACCAGAGTGACTGGTTGAAAGCTCTAGGTGAGAACAATCTCGTGTTGCCACAAAAATGTTAGCTTTGAACATCTAACTACCATCACAGACGAACTTTCATGATAGTGAGACAAAATATGTTCTTTTCTAGGATGCCTTGCCGCTCGTTCTGTCAGGAGGTGATTGTGACCTGTGGAGGACCTGAGCTGGAGTTCCTGTCCATAGTCTGTCACGTTTTTCCAGACAATAACTGTTACACTCCTGGTTAGTTAACTTTGTTAACAAAATCGTTAACTCATTCAATGTTCCAAGACAATGTCTGTTATGCTCCTGGTTAATTGACTTTGTTAGCAAAACCATTAACTCATTCAATGTTCCAAACAATGTTTGTTATGCTTCTCGTTAGTTAACTTTGTCAGCAAAATCATGAACTCATTCAACATTCCAAGTTACAGCACCAAGGACGGGCCCCATTACTAGAAACAAACTAATTAAAAAAAACCTAACAGAACTGACTATGATAAACTGTTACAGCTGCATAATATACAGTTTGATATTTAATTTAATAATATTAGATTCTTGTACAAAATCAATGTAAATAATGATATGTTGAAAGAAATATTAATAGAAACTAGGAAAATGCCAACAATTCACTATAATAATTACATTTTGCAGGTCCTATGACTTCTTTTAAAATACTGAATGTAAATGTTCTATATGATGTACAGAGAAAAAAACACAATACATACTGCATTATTGAAAAGACAGGCAAGTTAGAAACTTTGTATTTACTTTTGCTGACTGCTACTCTTCTTTTTAGCTCCATACAACATGTCTGCTCTACCGGACATGTCTTCTGGACCGGATATGTCTGGTCTACACAACATGTCTGCACATGGCAACCGGACTGGACCTCATGACAGTATGTGGTCAGGTAAGTGTGTAACTATTACTAACACTTTGTGGTTAGGGTTGTCGACCTGATGAAGGTTCAGGGTTCGAATCCTTAGTAGGCCCCACTGTTGTGTCCTTGGAAAACTACCTGACACGTTTGATCAAATGCTGACATCACGTATTCGTAATGTTTTGTGTAACTAAGGTGACATATCTTTAACTCTTGTGGGTTTACATTTAGAAGTAAATGGTCATTACTTATCCTGATGAAGGAAACAGTGGTTGTTAAAAATTTGATCCTTGTGTACCCTTGTGTTGGAATGTAGTTCAGCATCGTACTATGATTACGACCAACACAGATGAACATTCAAATGTAATCCTAGCTTTCAGTTACCACCTTTTAAAATAAACAGCCAGTGTTGATGAAAGTCTGAAACATTGATGGGTAACCAACCTGAGAGGAACGAGTTTTGAATCCTACATTATCATTAAACAGGATCTGATACAAACTGCTTGTTTTTTTCCCCAGTTTGTGAGCCAATTCGGCACAGTCGCTGCTCTGCCCTGCCGTACTCCCGCGCACAGTTCCCAAACGCACTGGGCTTCCCTGTACAGGAGTTCTCCCTGTCTGTAGTGCAGGCTGTGTTCGAGGTGCTGGACCTGCTCCAGATGTCCCACTGTCATCCTGACATCGACTCTCTGGTCTGTTCTCTCTTCTTCCCAGAGTGCTCACAAGGCAATGCTAGGTGAGTCATAAATGGAAGCATGTTCAGCTCAGAACCAAGAGGTCCTGTGTTCAAATCCTACCATGTCATAGATCTTATGCCTTGGTTACAGAACTTTCTTCACAAATTAGTACCTTAGGGACCAAAAACGCTATTTTAACGCTAACGGACAAATGCGATTCTGTAACAAAGGAGGCGTTTCAGTAGCGTTCCAGTGGCGATTAGCCCTCCCGAGAAGCGATACAGTTGCGATACAGTAGCGTTCTTGTTGCGTACTTATTACGAACTTTTCTTCGCACCTAAGGTTGAGACTACCCACAGAGACTATCCATTGTTTTTAACAATTAGTGCTTAAGAACCAATTAGCGTCTATTTGATAATTAATTGAGTCCCGCCCAGAGGACGGCCGCTCAGTTCGTCGCGCTGTGCACGCTTCCAGTCCTCGTCTGAACAGCCCGCGGCGCCGCTTTTCTTTGTTCCAACTTTGAAAGCTCCTTGGTCTGACAGTCCTGCTTACTTTACCGACGTCCAACTTATGTTAACCCACAAAACAGAACGTGTATACGCCACTAATTTTGTCGGTAAAACAACTGACGATCGGTCATCAGTTATTCTCGGTTCAAAGTCATTTTTTTAAATGTAAACTGCGGTCAAATTTTCGTATTTACGCGGCATCTAGAGCCTTGCTTCGCCAAGCGTCCATAAATTTGTCTGCATGTCCCATTGTCATGGGGTGGTGCATCGTCAAAATACGGACTCCTCAAAGGTCTAAATTAAAACAAACTAGATAGAAATATTAGCGGTTGCTAATATAGACAGGTTCGCGTTGTAGTGTAAGCTAAATCGGCTAAGATTGCACAACGGACGTGCCCCATGACCTTCGACCTTTTGGGGGTCATGCAGGCGTCAACAGCGCCCTCCCCACGCCTCGCCCGTCCGTTTTCGTGGGCAAATTTCTGCTTTTTTTTAGAGATTTCGGGACCTAAAAACTCACACCAGGGGTAGAAATAAGCCACATACGTTATTTTCATGGTAAACATCGCTAAAATGGACCAGCTATATCACACCGAACGGCTTGTTACACTCAATCTTTGCACATTTGATTGCAGGAGTTGTTTAAAGTTGAACACACCACAGCTTCAAGGCCACATACTCGCCGCACATATTCCTGTTTACCTGAGGGAGTATCGGTGTATGTAGCGCCACAAGCTGTGTCCTTGAGAGTGCTCAGACTGCCAACTTTGGCCTGAGGTTATGGCGAAGGGAAATGAGGTCACGGAGAACAGAACAGATTCGGTGGCACTGCGTTTTCCCTGTTTAGACGGGAATACGAAGTGATACAGAAAATGTGCTGTGTCTCAGCCCTTTCAATGCAGGATGATTTGTTTGAAAAATCTCCGAGAGAGGATAACTAAACAACCATTTGACGGGTCGTCGTGATTTTTTGTATGTAGGTAGCTTAAGTGATGCTTGACACAATTAAACTACAATTATGCAAATCAGGATCTAACTTTCATAATTAATGTGGACATTCTATAAATCTGCTTTATTCCATATTAGGGCTATGAAACACTTGTGACATACTAGTATGTAATTGAAAGCGACAAAATCATTGGCAGATATTGATTATGTAAATGAAGACGTAATTTGCATAATTAATGGAAAATTGGTACAATTTTATGTTGGTAACTGCTGGAGACATAAATCGTCCGTCTTTGCTCTCTTCCAAGGAATACCACTATCACTTGCCTTAATGCATATTTGTTAAGTGAATGCGTGGAAGCTGTAAGTATAAGGTATGGAGAAGTACAACAATCATCCTCAGGTAAAGTGAAACATGGTGCTTAAGCTTTTCAAGTCAAGTATACATTGCGAACTTCGTCTTCACTTCGCGCGCTGATAGTGATACGCAAACCCCCTAGGTCCGCTGCGCTGGTACAATCGGCCTGTTCTTCTAGTACTGCATGGGTGCCATCTCTTCTGTAACGGGGTGGTTCAGGGTTAAGTGCACTCGGGGATCCCGTTACAACACGAATGGCACCTATTT